TCGGCGTTTCCCAGGAATGGGGATGTGGAGTCGGCTCTGCGGGCCGAGGCCCGTTGCGGGGCCTTAGGGCTTCCCTCGTGCGGTCAATCCGTAACACGTCGGGTCTGTCTCTGCGTACAGAGGTGGATGCTCTGACCAAGGAGCTGGAGGACTTTGAATTAAAGAAAGCCGCTGCCCGAGCTGTGACAGGAGTGCTGGCCTCCCATCCCAACAGCACCGACGTGCACATCATTAACCTCTCGCTGACCTTCCATGGCCAGGAGCTGCTGAGTGACACGAAACTGGAGCTGAACTCCGGACGGCGCTACGGCCTGATTGGGCTCAATGGGATTGGTAAGCTGTGGGCACGGAGATGTGGGCTTCTTGGAGCTCGCTGAAGCTGCCGTGCTGCTGAGAAGCTGGTAAATGCTGGAGGCCAGAGGGGAGGCTGTTAGACATGGCCGGGGGACGGCAGGGTCCCGCCCCTCCCGGGAAGAGGAGTTGCTGGGGTGGCTGGTCCAAGCAGGAGGCTGCATTCCGGCTTCGGCCTGCGGATCGAGCGTGTTTCTGTGGAGGGTTGGTGCGGTGTCTCTGGGAATCCGCCCGATTCCTGTTGGCAGGATTTGCTTAGCCGTGTCGGTCGCCGGTGCCGATGCTGTTGGTCAGAGCACTCGCACAGCACGGGGAGGTGGGGCGTGTGGTTTGGCCTGGATGGGGAGCTGCTCTACGATCCCTGGAGAAGACGGGGCTCTCCGTGGAGAGATGCGGGATAGGGATGTAACCGAGGAGCAGCTGCAGGGGCGACCATCTGGTTTATCTTCCCAGAAAACCCTCGGGCTCTCTGTGATGAGTGCGGAGCTTTCCCCTGTGCCAGAGTCTGGGGTCCTGGTAACACGTGTCAGGCCTGATTAGACGCTAGGAAGCATAGAGCAGGGAGAAAATTCCTGAAATCTGGGCAAGGGCCGAACTGCAGTGGTTCCCCGAGAGCTGCTTCCTGTCCCAGTCGTGGCCTCGGGGTGGTGAGCCTTGGCTGGGAGGGCAGCCTGTCCCGGCGCGGCGTTAGGCGCTGCCGTGTCTCTAATTCTTCTGGCCCTGTGGGCAAGACATTCCCAAGGATTTTCTGGGTTGGAAAGGGAGGGAATCAATGGGATCTGACTGCATCTTGTCGGTCCCTCTTTGCCGTTGTATCTCGCTGCGTCCCGCGGGTCGTTGCGGAGTGTCTGTGTCTGTGTGCACACAGGGAAATCCATGCTTTTGTCGGCTATCGGGAAACGAGAGGTGCCCATCCCAGAGCACATCGACATCTACCACCTCACCCGAGAGATGCCGCCCAGTGACAAGACCCCTCTGCAGTGTGTCATGGAGGTGGACACCGAGAGGGCCATGTTGGAGCGCGAGGCGGAACGTCTGGCCCATGAAGATGGTAAAGTCCCGGCGTCTGTGCACCAGGGACATTTCCTCCCCTGCCCTCCCTTCCCAGGAAAAGGCCCTGTTTGGGTCCCTCGGTGGGTGCCCACCTGTTTTGGTGCCGGTTTCCCCCAGCCCTGTGGGAGTACACGTGGGTGAAGCGATTCTGCGCAGCTTCCTAAGCTCGGGGGTTGGGGAGAGGAGGGCTGGGTGGGGGTAGAGCCGGTGGGCAATGCCTGTTCTCAGCGGCAGGGCGGTGGGCTGAGAGCCCCCGTTGGTACGAGTGCAGACAGACGGCTCTCTTTCAGCCGAGTGCGAGAAGCTCTTGGAGTTATATGAACGCCTGGAGGAGCTGGACGCTGACAAGGCAGAAGCTCGGGCCTCGCGTATCCTTCACGGCTTGGGCTTCA